CAACAGCCGAAGCAAATCCACGAGATTAAGGATTTCCTTCTGACTGCAAGAAGGAAGGATGCACGCTCTGTCAAAATCAAGAGGAGCAAAGATGCTGTCAAGTTTAAGGTTCGATGCTCCAAGTACCTTTACACTCTTTGCGTGTTTGATTCGGAGAAGGCCGACAAGTTGAAGCAATCCCTTCCTCCAGGTATAGCATTTCGTGTTCAGTTGTGTCATTTATTATGATTTGCAACTCGCATATGGTCATCTCTACTGTGAATTTAGGTGTATGAGAAAGCATGCACACATGTGGTTCCTATTGTTTTAATATTCCAGTAATGGAACAATCAAGGGACTTTCTTTGTTTGTTTGTTTTTAAGGCTCACTTGTATAACTAACAACTAGTTTGCTATAATTTTGTATTTGTAGGTTTGAGCGTGCAAATTCAACTTTCAATTTTATTGAACATTGAAGTAACATTTGCGTGGGCCAAAGAGATACAATCGGCGCATTGGTGTAGGTCCAACAATTCCTGTGTTCTTCCGAGCACGCCTACCACAGGCGAAAAGAATACATTCTGGAAAAAAGGACCAACATACACAAATAGCAAGTCCAGTACAATCCAATCCAATGAAAGTTGAGTGATAAAAGTTCCGTACCTATCAATCTATCAGCAATTAAGTTATAGATTCCTTAGGAATATCCTTGTTAGATGCCATAACTAGTATCTATCATCATTATCTCAGTACGTTGGGCGTTAACGTATGTGTCGTATTTGGAAGGGCCTTATTTCTGTTTTAATACGGCAAGTGTTGTCCTTGGTGGACGGTCAGGTACAACCACAGAGGTAGGTGAACACGTGCTCTGTTTCATTTCACGTTATTTCTTAGGAATACGATAAGTAAAGTAATGCATTCCTGTTGATTCAAATTGGAATTGCAATACAATTTTACAGAGGAAGAGAAGAAAGGAACAATTGAAAACTGGAAACCAAGTCAAAATGGAAGGAAGGGCTTTCAGTTAGTTTAGTCTCAGCCTCACTCTGACTGACACTGTCGGTTGGTTGGTTCGTTGGTGGTTGGCTCTTTTAATTAACTCCTATAGAAGAAGAGCAACGGCACAATTCTCTTCTTCTCAGTTCCAAGTCCAACAACTGCCACTCTTAGACTAACACATAAGACACCCTATTTCCAATTTCCACCAAATAACAGGGAAGGGAGGGCAGAGTCGGAGTGGAATGGGAGCGCGCTGCTTCTGCCCCTGTTTCGACTGCGATGGCCACGACCACGACAATCGCACCGCCCAAACCGAGCTCGACCCCGTCCTACTCGTGTCCGGCATCGGAGGCTCCATTCTGCATTCCAAGAGGAAGAAGTTCGGGTTCGACACCCGGGTTTGGGTTCGGATCCTACTGGCCGACTTGGAGTTCAAGAAGAAGCTCTGGTCTGTCTATAATCCCCAAACAGGTTCCTTCCCCTTCTCTTTCTCTCTCTAATATGGAATATCTGTACCTATATAATATAACAGGAGGAGGGCTTTGTTTGGTTGGTGACAAGGTAGAGGAACAGGAGAGTCAAGTGAGACGAGTGTTGTTGGTTTTTCCTTTTTACTATTCATAGTTGGATTCCTTGTTTCGGGCGGCAATTGGAAAAGAAAATGTGTCTAGGGCTAGCGAGCAAAGGGAGACAAGGCAACTGTGGAATTTTGTCAATCATCTGTTTGTTTATATTTACATGATACTTACTGTTGGTAATATTTTTCTTCTACAAAAATCTCTACTTTTAAACCATCTTCTTTAATACTTTTCATAGCTAATTATATTATATGATATCCATACTGATATTCAGATCAATTGGATACTCAAACATGCTTTATCTATGTTCTAACAATTTCATTCAAAATTTATATATCAAAGTCATAATTTTATTTGAAGAGCTACTAATACTATCATTTCGCTTCAATATACATGAATGAATGAAACATCAAACCCAAAGGGGTTGGTTTGGTTTGGTAGAATTTGAATCATAAAAGTAGGGTAAACTTTCATTCTAGGGAACTAACAGATTCATCCCCAATTTTGCATCTCTTATCATTGTCTAAGTTTTCCTTTGATGTCCCGCTTCTGCTTGTATTTCCAGGTTATACAGAAACACTAGACAAAGACACTGAAATTGTGGTCCCAGATGACGATTATGGACTATACGCAATTGATATTCTAGATCCTTCTTGGGTAAGAATTAAATGGGTTCTCATAGTTTGGTTTATACAGCATATAATATTACGACCTCACTAAATTCGAAGTTTTTGCCCTTTTGAAAATGATGACTATGGCAGTCCTTAGCACAAAAAGGGAGCACTCCATCCGTTATATCACAAAACTGTGAAAGGGTCTTTTGACTTTTGAATGTAGCACACTAGTGATTGTGGAGCTCTTCTGTTTTGGTGAAGTTGGGTTGATGAATAGCGTTAGAAACATGCAACTGTTTTTGCACCTTTAAATGACAAACTTGATTTTTTATTTTACTATTCCTCGGAAATTAAATTCTTATATTTTATTTTTTCTTGTTTCCAGTTTGTGAAATGCATACATTTGAAAGAGGTATACCAGTTCCATGATATGATTGATATGCTAGTGGGATGTGGGTATAAGAAAGGAACCACTTTGTTTGGATATGGCTATGATTTCCGACAAAGCAATAGGTAATTTATTTTCAACTGGTTACTTCTTTTTTGGTGGCGGAAGTTTATCTTATAACATTTATAATCCGAAAGCGACAATTACAGGTATTCAACTATCGTGACAATGTCTGACAACTAGGTTCCTTATTTCTACTAATCTAACCACCATGGTTCTTGTGTCGGCAGAATTGACAAGTTAATGGAAGGTCTTAAGGTGAAATTGGAAACTGCTTACAAGGCTTCTGGGGGTAGAAAAGTAAATATAATTTCACATTCAATGGGTGGACTGCTAGTCACATGTTTTATGTCACTCCATAATGATGTGCGCATACTTTCTCTTAGTGGCTAGTTGATGTTTATGAATTTTTATCAAATATATGCAGAAAATATAAACTCCTCATCTTGAAAGAGGCATGACCGATGGTTTAAACCGTTCATCGGCAGGTATTTTTGAAGTATGTGAGAAAATGGATTTGCATAGCTTGCCCTTTTCAAGGTAGTTTCCTTTTTCCCGTTTGTGTTCATATTTGGACTGATGATCTTTAATGTATAATGTCAATAGTTCTTGAAATCTGTCCATTGAATCTTCTCAGGTTGCTAGAAATATTTTCCCTTTCGGTCTTTTTGATCAAAATCACAACAGTAGTTTTTTACTATCCTTTCTGTTAATAGTGGGTTATATTTTATCTTCTTATTTATCATCAAACATCATTACTTGCTTGAAAGATGTAACCGCCACAGACTGGAACTCAAAGCATTTGGTTTTGCTACCCCTGAACAAAATAGTATTTGTGTCCAATCCAAATTTTCATGAAAAAAATATTCAACCCGCAAAGCTTTAGATGAAAATTAAGGTGAAGAAACAATTACATGCCTTCACATCAATTTAGGAAAGAGTCTGAGCCCACTGTTGGTAGGCTGTAGACTGCAAAAACTTATGAACCTTATTGGTTTTTTAATATGTTTTTGTCCTTGACTATTGATTACAAAATTCAATTTACAGGTGCGCCAGGATGCATCAATGACTCTCTCTTAACTGGATTGCAGTTTGTTGAAGGCTTGGAGAGCTACTTTTTCGTATCAAGGTGGACTATGCACCAGCTGGTAATACATTAAATCAAGCTAACTTGGCTTCATGTGTGTATTTAAACTTAATAATAGGAAAATTAGTATCTCAAGTGGAAGCATGACATGCTGTGAATGAGTCTTTATCTTTTAGTAACAATACAAATCAAACAAATTTATAAATGGAAGTACTTGAATACTGAGTTGCCACTAGGAAATGCACCCTTCATCTGATCCAAGTCAACATGCTCTAACTGTGTGTTAGAGAATCCCCAACGTGTTTCATATTGGCACCCATGAAACACATTTTTTAAGCATTTGAACACCATAAAAAATTGTTCAGTGTTCTTGTAATATGTAACTGAATTGCATACATATTTTTTATTTTTTGGGAAGTGGAAGATATCCCTCCACCTAATTAACGTAACAGCATTTTATCCATGATGAAGAAATTATAGTTGATTTTTTCATCCATATATCAAGTTTTGGGCTACATTTTTCACTTGTTACAGTTATTTATTCTCCTAGATGTTTGCTACTTTCGTGAAGAACTGAACCTGACTTTATTTTCGCATATAGTTGGTTGAGTGCCCATCAATCTATGAGATGCTGGCAAATCCTAAATTTGATTGGAAAGAGCTGCCAGAAATTCAGGTTTGGAGGAAGCATTCTAAGGATGGGGAAACTTTTGTGGATCTGGAGTCTTATGGCCCAATTGAAAGCATACCTTTGTTTGAAGAAGCATTGAAACATAATGAGGTACCACTCTTTAGAGGAAAGTTCTCAAAATTTCTTGTACCAAAGCATCTGTGTGTCATTTTGGCTTGTCTTGTTATCTTGTATTTCTGGTCCTTATATTTTGAACTGTAGTTAGGAAAAACATATTATACATCTAATATAATCAAATCCCATACTATCAAAGCTCATATAATTTTTGTGGGTGATAAGGACTATGTTTGCACTATAGACAAGTTTAGCGGTTGCAAAATATAAAATCATTTCCCAATAGTGTCGCACGCTGATCATGTCGTCTATTCCAGTTGACAATAGTTGATTTGCTGGGTATTTTCATGTTCACCTTTTCAGTCCCTGGAAAGCAATGACCATATTCCTGTGCCTGAATTTTTCCTTATGTTTTGGGATGCAATTGTACTCTGAAATTTGTCTCCCTGCATATATCTTAGTGTCTCAAAATTACTTGTCTCCCTTAACCAATAGCCAGAGCTTATGTCAATCTCTTTCACTGCAGCTAAGTTATGATGGTAAAACGGTAGCTTTGCCATTTAACTTTTCTGTTCTCAGATGTGCTGCTGAGACTCGCCAGGTTTTAAACAATGCTAAACTACCAGATGGAGTCTGCTTCTATAACATCTATGGAACATCATTCGACACACCTTTTGATGTTTGGTATGTAAGAGAACTACTTTATTTAAATCAAAACAAGAGACATGTGAACAGGGTTTGTAACCCATGGTATGACTGGTCAACCATTGCTCAATCTCTTTCACTGCTGCTAAGTGTCTGACATATGTACTACTAATGCAGCTATGGTTCGAAGACATCTCCAATTGAGGACTTGTCTGAAATATGCCATTCAATGGTGAGTCATGTACTGTTTGTGAAATCGTGAATTTTCTTTAAAGTCATGTGTGAAGTTATCCTATGGGTTCAAACAACCTAAATCCTCTGCCCTTTGGTCTC